CGGCTGGACGGGGGCTTCCTCGACTACCTCCATGGGGTCTTCTGCGTCTTCCCGCCCCGGCTGCTGCCCCTGGCTGTCACCCTCTATGTAAGGACGGGAAAGGGCACTGCTGGGGATGCTCTGCTGTGGGGGGGTGTGCTGGGGACCCCCGTGACCCCTCTCTGTGCCACCCCTGACCCCACAGGCTCTCTGGCTCCTGTACCTGTTCGTCATCCTCGGTGTGACGGCAGAGAAGTTGTGAGTGGCCCAGCAGAGGAGGGGACTGTCCCCAGAGTGACCAGGAGCCCCAAGCAGCCCCATCACCTCTCTCTGTCTCCTTCTCTGCCCTTCCAGCTTCTGCCCCAATTTATCAGCCATCTCCACCAACCTGAAGCTGTCCCACAACGTGGCAGTATCCTTGGCAAATCACAGGGGCCCTCAGCCAGGGGGGGTGTGGGGACAGGGCAGGGGAGGTGGCCGTGACAGGGTCACTTTGAGTCCCCTCAGCATCATGCCAGGGGCAACCAGTTCTGAGGGTGAGCTGGAGGTGACAGCGGGACAAGTGGTCATGTGCTGGCACTGGACAGGAGTACACAGTCCCCACGGGGAGGAGGACACCAGGCCTTTTCCTTGACATCCCCTCTCCATGGTGTCACATTCCTGGCCTTTGGAAACGGGGCACCTGATGTCTTCAGTGCTATGGTGGCCTTCTCCAACCCCCGGACAGCGGGGCTGGCCATCGGGGCCATCTTTGGTAAGGAGACCCCGCTGCCATGTCCTCGTGGGGTGGCACTTGGGAGCTGTGGGATGTTCCCGTGTGCCGAGGTCCCTCTGTGCTGGCAGGTGCCGGCGTGTTTGTGACCACGGTGGTGGCCGGGGGCATCGCCCTGGTCAAGCCCTTCACGGCCGCCTCCAGGCCCTTCCTCAGGGACGTCATCTTCTACATGGTGGCCGTCTTCCTCACCTTCGTGGTCCTCTACTTGGGCAGGATCAGGCTGGGAGAGGCTCTGGGTGAGCGCTGTGGGAGTTGGGGATGGTGGGAGCAGCCTGGGGGTGATGGGGGTGCCGTGACCCCCCCATGACTCCCCCATCTCAGGGTACCTGGGGCTCTACGTGTTCTACGTGCTCACCATGGTGCTCTGCACCTGGATCCACCGGCGGCAGCGGGGGGACGGGCTGGCCCCTCCCGGACCCTGGGAGCCAGGTAAGGGCTGCCCAGCTGGGATGGGACCCCCGCTGTGTTGGGGTCCCCTTCCAGTGCCCCTGCCCGCTCCTCTTCCCCACAGAGATGCCGACAGATGTGGAAGAGCCGGAGCCCTCGGGCACAAACAGTGGGGACTATGGTACGCTGTGGGCTCAGGGCTGCCTCTGCTCAGTCCTCGGGGGTCCCAGAGCCCCCCCAGGCTGCTGCAGGTGTGACTGAGCCCCTGGGGCAGGGGGAGCTCCCTGGGGACACACAGGGAACTGCAGCCCCATGCTGGAAGGGCTGGGGAGGACAGGGAGCCCCCACCCCACTGAGTCCCCGTGGCCCCTCACAGCGGAGGAGTACCGGCCCCTGCTGCCCTCCCAGGAGACCTCCCTGCGCATCCTCACCACGGCCCTCAGCCCCTTGGACTACCGCAAGTGGAGGAGGAAGCCCTGGTACTGGAGGCTCTTCAAGGCTTTCAAGGTGAGCAGGGGGGAACACGAGCCAGGAG